CMRCCTGAGCCTGYCCTGGMACAGCTCCAGCCATTCCTGGTGCTGTCCCTGTCCCAGGGCAGAGCTTGGAGCTGCCCCAGTGCTGCCCCTCATGAGGAAGTTGTATAAAACCCAGGAACACTCCCCAAAATCTTCACACACACTGGCAATTCTGAATTTCTAATTTTGAATACATTATTCAATGACATGCAACATGCAGGGCCTGTAGATAAAGGTTTAAAGTCCAGCTCTGCAGCAGACGTGACGGAAGTGACAATGATTAGAAAATGATAGTGATAGAAAATGATGGATTTTAACAACTAACACTATCCTCCTGATGCTACAACCACTTGCCTGGCTTAAATTCCCTGAGGCAGCAATGCACAGTGATGATTACTATTAAATAGACTCTCTCCACATGCATTTTTGCTTTGAATTTCACGTTTTGGTGTTGGTTTCCCTAATGCTGTTAGCAGGCAGTACTACATGGAGTATTAGAACACCCTCATCACACCACACCATCACCACCAAGGGGGAGGGGAAGATGTGTGCTCATCAAATGACATAAAACCCACTGATCTGATCAAACTGGAATAAAAGATTTTGTTCAAATTAGATCAGAAAGGGAAAACAGTATAAACKGAAGATGCGAAAGTCATATGGGCATAATCGTCCCTGACTTTGTATCTTTAAAACAAGAATGGCTTTAGACAAAGGAATACAAAATATGTTTTGACAACCTTACAACTGCATGGCACAAACTCAGTGTTGTTAGTGCAGACACTACTGGATTATTTAAATTCACTGCAGAGATACACAGCGATGATTCRACCCCATCCAACCTCATTTCTCATAAGAAACACTCGCATTTCTTACTTTCACTGCATTCCTCTGTCCCATAAGACTACTCCTGTGGCAAGGAGCATTTTGGGGACTTTGAAAATGATCTGAGCTGATAAATCTGACATCATAAACCAAATCCTCTCCAAGCATCTTCACAGAAACAGAACAGCATGAGAGCAGTCACACAAGGAGCAGGGAAATACACTCGGGATCTGCCAGCAGTTTTCCCAAAGAGCRCTTTAAGGCAGCCCTACCTTATAGGGCTGGAAGACACGTCGGGGTCGTGGGCTGTCACCTGCCCCAGCACAGAGTTGAGAGCAGCATTTTCATGCACYTCCAGAAGGTAGGTGGGTGAGGAGAAGACTGGTGGCTCGTCAGCATCCTCCACCACGATTTTCACAGTGGCAGTGTCCTTGAAGGGGCCCCCGCTGAGGAAGCGAGGGTCGATGTGAATGTTGGCTGCTTCCACCTTCAGCGTGTAGGACTTTTTGGTCTCAAAGTCCAGTGGCTGTTGAGAAGGACAAAGATAAATGACTTTTACTAATGGCCACAGAGAACAACTGGCAGTAATGCTGATGGATGGGAGTGATGCATGTTTTTAGGCACACGGAATGAGTTTTGATGCAGCCATTTCCCTCTCCTAGAAACCCAACCGCCAGATTTTCCAGGCACATACTGATACCTGCTTATTTAGCAGCCTCAGAGAAAACAGCRCTGTTTCCTTATTTTTCACAAGGARCTGACTGAAATAGTCTGTCTCATGAATTATACTGTTACAATTACAGATCAGATAAATTCTACAAATTTGTTGGTGGTGACATGAGCTGCATACCAATAATGCACCTCATCAGTGCTTTACTGGCTGGAGATAAGAAAAAAAAAAWTAAACTGTCTCCACAAAGAATAAATATTTTATTGCTTCCAGAACAATGTGAGAAATGCAAAGAACTGGCAATTATTATTTGTTGGACATGAGAGGCAAAATGTAGAGCTAATCATATAAGAAAGTACTTCAATATTATTGCACTTGGAGTGCCTCTGTATTTCAGTTTATAGGAGTAAATGAGGTAGACATCTCTCAGGAATTTCTCAAAACTGTAGCAATTTCTACTTCTGTATATTTTCTTTTTATTTTTCCCCCCCCCACAGACAGAATCACAAAACAAATTATTTTATTCTATCAATATACCTGCCATGTCACCACTGTTTTCACTATTTTACAGTTCCATATCAACTCATAAAAGATGAAAACTCAGTGGATTTAAGGGACTGAAATACCAAATAAACCTCAAATCTGTGACACTTTTGAGTGTTAGACTTTTTCATTATAGGAGATTCAAGTTTGTGTCTTGAAGCACATCAGTATATTCACTATATAATTCTCTTGTGTCTCACAACGATTCAAATTTCAAAGATGCAAATTGCCAAGCATTGGAAAGATATTAAGATTTGCATTATAATGTCTCAGGGATAAAAAGAGGAGGACATAGACACTCTGAATCTGCAATGCAAATACCAGCAAGAGCACAAACAGGAATCTTGAGGAAGTCTGTCAAAGCCTTCAATACGTGTATTTTCAAATTCTGTTGATTTTTTTCAGGTATGAATCAAGCCCTAATGGGATTTGCTCTTTCTCACAAATTCTAGTAAACACAAGAAAACCTTACTTCTTTAGCAGCTCTTAAATTAGTAAGCTTTTGAAATTATGAATGGGGRTTTATAAATCAGCATATTCACAATTTGCCAATCATGGCTCCCGTAGCACTTTTTCAATCGCTTTTCATWTGCTTTACAGAAATGACAGCACCCCAATACATTTTGTCGTGCTTAATCAGGATATCATATTGAAAATTTACTCAGCATTGTCTAAAGCCCGTGATTTTATGCTGAAGAAAATCTGTTGGTGAGCAGCACCCTCCATACATCATCTGCTGGAGTAGAACCAAAATTATTATTGCTGTCAAAATGAAAATATGAAACAACATTATGGTTAAGGCTCAGTTATGAAATAAAGCCAAGGGAACTGGGGCAAAAGGCTAATTGCCTCAGCTTACAGGAGAGGCCACAGCACACAATAAATAACAGGAAGGAAGAGCTGGGATCTGTATCATAATTTTCTCTTTAGAAAAACAAATCTGAATWTGGATAAATATACATCAGTTTATTATAAATCTAAACAGTGCTGACCTACACACTGAGAAAGGGAAAACATAAAGTTTTGACAGGCAATCTGCATGACCTCGTTAATGACAGGTACAAGTGCAATATTAATTACCTGCACCTGAATCATTGGATTCACCTTCTTTKCACTGGAATATTGTGGCTTGGGGTTTGTTTACTTTTTTTTATAAACAAGGATTCATTTAGAGTGATCTATGCTATGCAGTTAAAACCCTCTCTGCCACTGCTATAAATTATATTCATCTCCTTTTTCAGAACACAGCATGAGAAACAGCTCMTTCTCCTTCCCCAGAAAATAATGACAACTAAAGCTGCAATTAATGTTTGCCTGGCTTTACTGGAAGAGTTCAGTCAATTCTGCCTCTCCCCATAATTCTGTACATTAATTAGGTGGTGCTTTTGCTGGGTACGTGCAAATACCTCATCCTGCACAAATCAAGACTGTACAAGCATAGAAAAGGGAATGTGGTTTTCTTTAGGGCCCAAATTTGGCACTTCTTGTGTGAAACTACTGATCTCCTTAACAAAATGCACTGAAATCCTGCTCATTGAGTGAAAACAGCTCAACATGAGAAAAGGCAGAGGATGGAGCCCTCACACATCAGGTAATTTAATTAATATACTGTGATTTATTTTTCTCCGAACAGCTATACAGGAAATGAAATAATTGAGAAAAGTTACTTGGTGAATACTCAGCCAAGATTCTATGAAGTTTAAAGCACCACCAAAGTGGAATCTGATCTCCTCCTCTCATTTGGAACCAAGGGAGAAAACCAGCCAAACCTGGATAGGTTTAACACATTTCCAGCATCCATGGAGGTCTCTCCAGCTGCCCCCTCAATGAAAATTTGGARGGACATGGCCAACACACCCATTTTTATCACTTCACTGGCTTGAGATCTCACCCACAGATAAAAGAATGCCTAGGAATCCAGCAACTTCTCCCACAGTAAAGCCTGGCTGGGTAGGTGTAAGTCAAACATTTATGTTTTTGAACAGAGATATGATTTACCTTTCTCACTCTAATAATGCCGTCCTGAGTTTGGGCATCTGTGGTAATTTCAAATATATCCACTCCATCTCCTTCAATAATATCATAGGATGATTTAGCATTTTCTCCAATATCCAGGTCATTTGCTTTCACCCTTCCTATTGGTTCACCAAGAGCAACATCTTCCATTACTGAGAAGTGATACAGACCTTACAAATAAGAGGAAAAGACTGAACATTACACCTGGTCCCATGTCCCCTGGGTGCCCTTCAATGTTTACATTTCCCCAATGCCAACTCTTGAGATGTGCAACTGATACGATACAACCCCCATTTACACGAGTTATTGATTGCAAAAAGTGGTCCTTGCACAAGAATATTCGGTTTATTCTAGGTCAGTGTCCTTTTCACTCCAGCAGTCTCCTGCTCCTTCCTTGCAGGGATGTTTTGTGTTGGCAAACACAGATACTGAGCTCCCTTCCACTTTGCAGAGCTTACCTTTTTTTACAGATATTTTATTGACAAGGAGTTACAATTCARCCAAGAAACTTTGACTTTTACTCCACAGAAAATTGGCCCAATACTTAAAAAGGTATTGTGTAAATACTTAGATAACTTCAAATATTTACTACTTTTTAAAATTTGATTTGATTTTGTTTGTTTAAGCCTTCCCACCTCCCTTTTGTGGTAAGAAACTAATCAAGAAACATTCAAGGAAACTCACAATATGTATGATTTATTGGAAACAATAACATGTCATAGCAATTATTACTGTGTTTGCTATTTGTTGTAGAATTAGACTAAAATCCACTAGAAATTACTATTCAAATTGCCAGCATTTTATTTTTGCTTACACCTGCTTCAAACCTTTTAAGCTAAAAAGCATCAAAAGTCTATTTAGATACAGTATTTCAGGTAGGAATTTTATAAAGGCAAAACCCAAAATACCCATTTGTTCTTGTATCTTCCTGACACTACACTACAAACCAGAAGACACACATTTTTACACCCAAAATTCTTTCTGGAGTCCCTGTATTTTTACCTCTTTATAATTTCAGTCACTGAAGCTAAATTAACAATCAAAGAAAATGCTGCTCAGGAGTTAAAATGTGCAAAAGGAASCCAAGGATAACAGATCATTAAAACAGTTTTTTGTCAAAAGATTATGGTCTTATTCTTCTCTGTCCYCCCTGCTATTCTAAGACAACCTGTAGTTATTACTGTTCAGTGCAGGTAGTAATTTTCCAAAAACAATGTTCTGGAGTTGTTGCTTTACCTGTTGTAGCTTATTGCAACAGCAGCRGTTGAAATCGAGAAAGAAATGGTGAGGAATTCACAAATACATGTATTAGATGCATAACACAGTCCCAAAGTGGTTTGTTTTTAATGTTTCTAGGCTAAATTATTAGAGATAATTTGGAGATCATCAGGATTCCTCAGAATATCCATAATGGATCACAAACAATGAGCAGCCAAAGCAATGAAGTGCCTTGGGAGACTAAATTATGCATTCATCATTTATTCTGCTGTCCACACTTTGTGGTTTGAATCTCCAGGCACAGCTGATTGCATTGTTAAGTTGACATTTTGCTCTCAGATTTATTAAAATAGTTTACAAAACATTTCTTTAAAAATTAAAAATTCAAATGCAGCTGACTCTTTTAGACAAATTCCTCTTCAGAATTATGAATTGTGTCGTAGTGCTGAGCCGACCAAAATACCCACATGGGCATCTTTGAAAGTCCTGAGTTTCTACACAGTGCACAGTTCCTCTCATTACAATTCCGTGTTAAACTGCCAGGTTAAAAACTTTGGTGACTTATAAAACGCCTCTAAAATGATTTCAGAGAGATCACAGAAGTAGTGAAAGTTCATCTTTTTCATTTCTAAAACCCAGGAGGCTAACACTCTGAAATCAAACCATAAATATACATTTCTGTCCTGCCTGGAAACAATAACCCGATAAAACACCCTGTTTCCCGAGCTCATTACCATTTATTGTGCAAGCAGCATGTATTACATCTTATGAATTTCGATTTCATTCTGGCTAGGCTTATTGCAAGTTTGATCCTTTCTTATTTTCCTTTCCAGGCAAATGCAAACTGTGCTTCAACAGTGTGAAAAAAAACCCATGTTAGACTTGCTCAGCTCTTGTCCAAGGGCAGAGCTAATCTGCAGTGCTGGGCAGCCAGCCTGGATTGCTGCCTTTTAAAAGGCAGAATTTGCAATAACACCCAGCTATAATATTATTAATATTACTCATCATTAAAAGTCATAAATACATAATGCCCAGTTATGGCACATGCAGAGGGTTTTTTTCCTAATTAATTTACATAATGGTCAGTSGTTATTCCAGGAGGGAAGCTTGAATCCTGCACTGGCTGTAACAGCTTCAGAGGCAGAACCTTCCTGGTTGCTGCAGGAAAACTCATCCACGAGCAGATGCATTCCAGGGACAATGATGCAGTCTCGTTGATGCTCCTGATGCCTTCAGAATTTTTAGCTTCTATTCTTCATGTAACTGTAGCTTTGGTGTGTAGTTCTAGGCTTCATAAAGTGSTAAAAACCCCTGCTCCCAGTGTTTTAGAGAAAATATTGTTCTCATTTGGAAAATCCAAGGAYTCTTCATTGCYKCAGAGTTCCWGAATATGTAAATGGAGAAYTGGGRGGAGCAAACTTGGGGTGATTGACACCATCAGCTGAAGGTGTCATTGGAGAATTGGGGCCCGATGTGTTCATGAGACAGAACTGATCAAAGGGGAAGATCTCGTGACTCGGGGT